GACCCCTGAATTAGAGACAGCATGAAAAGTCAGCTGAGTACAAAACATAGAGAGGAAAACAAGAAGAAAAGGGACAAGAAGAGAGGGACACAACCTAGAACAGATAATGGATGTCTATTCTATTAACATTTCTCTATCTGGAGAATGGGGTTGTTTTAAGTGTTCAGAGGGCCCCCTGCCTGTCTTTGCCTAGGGCCCTGGATTTTCTAAATCCGCCCCTGTTCTTGTGGTTATTCTTGATCTACGGAGGTTTTTAATTCAAAGCTAGTGAAGGAGAGGTTGCTTTGGGGGTGCGCTGCTCTCTAGATCTACATTCAAATGCAGATTAGACTCGTCTCAGGATGTTGGTAGTTCATTGAAAGATGGTTGGTCACATGGAGGTAGGTGTGAAAGGTTTAGAGTTAAGCTGAGACCTGAGATCTTCAGTTTAGCGTTGGCGTTTTTGTTAAATGTTTTCCTCCTCTCTGACTGACATAAACATTTCAGTCCTTAAAGCCAGTCACTTATCCTTCACCTGCAGCTAAATGATGCACAGTCAGCTCCTCTACTAGATGCAACCCTGATCAAATCCACTGTGGTTTACGGTTGAATACTTTTACAAGGCGCTGTATCGGGTGTCCATGTAGTCTGGGAAAATCACACAGTCTGGCATCCCATGTTAGATTCTATGGTAGGTTCATCCAGCAGGCTGCCACGGCTCCTGCTATCTCACTGTGTGGAAAACACACACATATAAATACACTCAGATAATTATAGTGCATGGAGCCTGAAGCATGTGTTGGGCTTATTGTCTCTCTAAGATTTATGGGTTGTCTGCAGACAACAGGAAGTTATAAAAGCATAATTTTAGGAAGCATTGCGCATATCTCCAAATGTCTGTTTTCCTCCCAATTACACAGAATCCCCCTCAGTGAGAGCCTGAGCTGGGGGTTTAGTTCCCGCCGTTAGGGGGCAGCATTGTTTGCATAAATGCATGGCAATAAAAAGAAAGGGACGACACAAAGGGGGCACAGACACGGACATGATCAATTATGTGTCAAGCATTTCTTCCCCGCTGAATGAATGGCTCGGTGACTACAGGCCTACCGACCCGCTATTGTCTATTGACGCTGGAGACGAAGTTCTCATGCAGTTCATTATCCCCAAAGAGGACAAACAGGGAGGGAAGCAAAGAGGCCATTAATCATCATTCCCTTCAGAGAGAAGCAATCTCCCTAACAGGTACTGGAACCAGCTGCATTTTATAGGAGAAAAACAATCATAAACGACACGTTTGCTTTTTTTTATTATGATCAAGCTCAGCAAAATATGTGCAATTAAACTATATAATGTGACGTTTATGACATAAGTAGTGAGTTTATGATCGATTTGCTCAGATAAAAATGGGGGCAAAGTTTCGCTCTTATTCTGCGCAGAATTAACTCCAAAGTCCGTTTATGTGCGTCTCTGCGGCCCGGACCGGAGCGGGGGGGCCGCCCCCCCCCCCAATAAATGCCTCAGCTTCCTGCTTCCAAGTTCGGACAGAGCGCGGTGATTGGCCGCGGCGCGCGCTCGGCCCCGCCCCCCTGCGCCCTGAGCTCCGGTTACCGCACACACACACACACTCACACACACACTCCGGTCTACGCATTCATCGGGGTGAATTTTGGAGGATTTTAGGGAAACAACAACGGAGCAGAAACAGAGAGGAGTGTTAGTGAGCCGCTCCAGCAGGGCTGCTTCCACTCAGCCTTCCTGCACTTTATCCTCAGACTGTCCACGCGGGGACCGAGCATTTCCACGCGCTGGCATTTCAGCGAGCGGAGCGCAGAGAGCCGGGAGGGATTTTACAATAGAAACTCAATTCCTCTGCGGAGAAGAATAGCAGAGGAGGAGGAGGAGGAGAGGAGGAGGAGTGACAGATAAGCCTGGAATGAGGAGGACCTCCAGATTCCTGGCGTGCTGCGGGGTGACTGATGGATGAATGTGGGCATCTGTAGGCTAAAAACGGGCGGCAGGTAGAGAGCAGCGGGGAGCTTTGGTCTCCATTGGCTGCAGGGTTTCTCTCTTTTTTTTTTTTTTTTACTCTTTGCCCCCCAGGGTTAAAGAAAACCCCCCAAACAGGAGCGGTTCTCAGCCACAGGTCATACCGGACACTCGCTGGGGGGGTTGGGGGTGATTTTCCTCCAGATCAGCCAAGGACAAGCAGACAGAAGGAGGCTGAAGGATCCGGACAGGAGGACATGTATCTGACAGCGACCCTTCAGGCTCCAGACTGATCCCAGCTCAGCTTCCTGCGGCCAGAGGCGCACAGAAAGGCGCGACGCTGCGCTCCGGTTCCCGGCTGCTCCCTCAATCTATCCGCTCAGCATGGCGGGGCTCGGATGCTGCTGCTGCTGGAACTATTACCTCTGGATCTTTATTCTCATGTGCAGGTCTGCGCTGCCCTCTGCTAAGACTCTGGAGACAATCATCTGGAGCTCAACCAATCAAAAGTAAGTCCTAAATCTTTTTACAAGCAGAGGGAAATTATATATATATATATATATATATATATATATATATATATATATATATATATATTATACATTTATTATTTTTTCTGCTTACTCTTCTTGCAGACTAGATGTGTTTCCATATATTCGTTCCTCATTGGTTGAATTTCCCAACAGCTTTAAACAATATACAGCCCCCCCCCCCCCATTACAGTAATGAATGGCTGATTATAGTAATTTATAATAATATTAATGGTGCTTTTATTTTCAGACTCCAGTCTCCTAAAAGTTGCTAGAGTTTATCCCCCAATTTCTCTGCACCGCCTGATAATTGGTGTTATTAGCTGAAAGGGGAAAAGTCATGTAAACTATTTGAAGTGAGTTGAGGTGAGCTTCACAGCAGCTCAGGGTTTTTATTTTTATTTTTTTGCTTTCTTTTTTAAAACTGCATTTCAAGCCTTCCAACGAAGGCCACCCTGGGTTTTAGATTTCAGAGTTCTCCCTCTTTTAGAAAATAAGAAAAGAAATCCAAGATAAGATTTTCTTATCAAAGGCAAAATGGTTTAGAAAATAAATAAAAAAATGTTCTTTAATTGCTCTGGCTGGATATCAAGCTTCATTTCTGAGGCGAGTTTCTCCTCCTCCTCCTTAAAATTCCCATTATTCCCAGCAAAAGAAGCAGAGCGGAGCCCAGACTTCTGATAGCACATTATGCTCTGGCAACAATTATCACCCACTTAGACCTGACTCCTGCATTTGCATGATGTTGGAAAGCGTTCATAAAGAGAAGGAGAGACGGAGGGGAGGCTAAAAACTGTGAAAATATGTATGTGACCTTCATGTGAGTGCAGAGCGAGCCAGGAGGACCGGGGAGACGGAGAGCAGATTCTAACTGGAACTTGGTCATTCCAGTGAATCCAGGATTTATCCTCCAAATGTCAGATGTCACAGAGGCTGGATGTGCAGCCAGTGAGGAGCAATATTGCTGCAGTGTTCACTGGCCTGTGTGTGTGTGTGTGTGTGTGTGGCCCCCGCTGTAATGGCAGGCCTACGGCCCATCAGCTTTTATTTGACTATGGCTGCAGTGGAACACACACACACACACACACACACACACTGATTATATAGAGCAGACACGGCTCCGCCTGCCGGGATCAAGATGTACACAGTTTAAAGAATTAACCGCCTTAAAACCTTCAAAGTTCATCCTTCTTCCTAGAGACTCGTTGCTGTTGGAACAGGCCCTCCGCAGCATTCGCTCTGGGGACCCCCGCTTTCCGGTTTGGATAATTATTTAGAAAAATAACAAATTACCTTCTATGATCTGCCAGGATTTGTATTGAACTGATTGGATCTGATTTATTTTGGAGTAAATCAGATTTATTTGAGTTAAAAGGAACCTTAAAGGAACTTTAGTTGTAATTTGGTGGCTTCTATGTGAGTCGATCCTTTGTAAACGTAGAACAGATAGATTTTAAAACTGATGATCAACTTTAGTCTTCGACTTGATAAACTCAGCAGCAGAAATCAATTAAACTAAATCTCTTAAACAAAGATGGAGCCTTTTTATTGACATTATATTAATAATGAAATTGATCTCAGCAGGAAGATTGTGGTGTTGTTGTGTTCAGCTTTAGACTCCCTCCCCACCATGACGCTCCTCCTGGTGAAACGCTCCAGTTCCCCACCGATCTGCAGCTCCATGAATGGGGGTGTTCATGTCTGACTGGTCCTTACCAGGAAAATATGAAAACACGGCGCTTTTAACGTTTTATTTACGAGGAAGCAGCAGAATAAATCTATATATTTAACAGCTGTAGATAAACACTCTGTAGATAAACACTCTGCTATGTCAGAGTCTGGAGTCCTGAACGCTCTTATTTTAAAAAAGTGTAAAAAGCAGCTGTTTAAAGTCGTTTTTAATGAGAGGCCAGAGGAAGGACTGGAGTGACTGGAGCGACTGGCTGCATAGAACAACACTGGGTACCTCCCCCACCTGTTGCTGCATACTGTTGGTCAAATGACTGAAAGAAGGCTGCAGGATTTTTTTTTTCCGCTCTTAGACACACAGATATGACCTTCTGGAAAAAAATCCTAGCCGAGAAGAGAACCGACAGTCATGCTTTGGAAAATACTGTCACGTCAAATAAAATGACATTTCATTTAATGGAAAAATAGAAAAAGCAGATCTGGGTAATAGTTCCATGTTGCCTCTTAGACATTTTTTTTCATATATGAGGGACAAAAAAGGCATTTTATGACCTTAAGCAAGAATAGTGATTAAGGATAATTTAAGGAAATCTTTTAAAGTTCTTTACTATCATAAAAAACAGCAAATTAGGGTCACAAACACTGTTGCTGGAATAAAGTGCTGTTTGGGTTCTTAGGCTTCAAATTTAATGCAAAGCAGCAGCTAAATCAAAACCAGGGAAATATGGAATATATTATTTATCTTGTTATAAGCTGTTAATCTTCGCCGCAGCAGGAGCAAATATGACTTTTATGTATAACATAAAACCAATTTCAGCATCCATTAATTAAGATCTAAATATTTTATTTTACGAGTTCATTCCTGAAAGATGGAGATTCAGCAAACCTGGAGTCAAAAGGCAAAAAAATGTCACCTAAAAAAAAAAAAGTAGACATTTATTGATTGATGATGTCACCTGGAGGGAATGTCTGTGAAGGTTAGCACGCTGCTTTTCAGGAGGATTTGGAAGATCATTTCTCCATCTGTTTTCTCTCTCCGCTCCTTGTAAAAATCCCCCAACGTTGGCTGAATATTTCATAAAGTTCACAGTGGAACAATAATGCACTCTGCAAAGTGTTTCTCTGCAGCTAATTATCCTGCTGCCTGCTGCTCGCAAAACAATAGACAATTATCTTGCCGTGTGTGTGTGTGTGTGTGTGTGTGTGTGGAGTACTTCACAATAACAAAAAAAGACAAACCTGTTTTTCTTTTGAAACCTATCCGTCAGCAGGACGGTGCGAGGAGGCAATAAAAGAGCGGAATACATGCGCGACAATCAGCATCCGTCTTCCCTGCTTGTTGTTCTGAGCTCCGTCTCGTTGGCATCTATTGCTCCGCTGTGATAATAGAAACAGTATACCTAGAGAAACGTACAGTACACTATCAGGTGCCTTATCCAGATTTACGACGCCTCGCTTCCTTTTCCTGCTTTGGGGAGCTCTGCTGCCTCAGCTAATAAATTAACTTAGCCCCTCTGCATGCTCACTGTGCCACATGCACACAAAATCTAACAATACCAGCGCCTCCCTGCAGGCCCTGAGTTATGAGGGCGAAGTATTGGGAAACAGCAGTAGGTTTGGGCCACTGGGATGTGTGTGAGTCTTTCTTTAATGTGCAGCTCTCCTTTATGGATTTTCATGTGAGGATGCAATCACTCCAGCAGCAGCAGCAGCAGCAGCGTTATCAATGACTGGGGCTTGCTTAATTGATTTCCCCCCAGCATGCTTGAGCAGGCAACATATATCTTCACCATGGCGCTGACTTGAAAGAAAAACATAATAAGAAGTAACATTCTTTTTTTTTTTCCCTTTTGTTTGGCTGCAGGACGCATGAGACCTTTTTCATATATAATTTGACTGGATGAGTGAGTTGAGGAGAAGGCAGGATGGGGGGGGCAGCCGTGCAGAAGGAGAAGGCAGGATGGGGGGGGGGCAGCCGTGCAGAAGGAGAAGTCTGGATGTGTCAACTTTCCCAAGCAGCTAAAGAAGCGCCCCCAACATTTGATCAGAACAAATCGGATTAGCTCTCATTTAGCTGAGTGGGATTACCCCAGAAAATGTCACTTTGTTATGACTAATCACGTCCCATCCGTTCGGGTCGGAGCTCTGCGTAAACACGCGCGCACACACAGACGCGGCGTCCTTAGGAATGTCACAGCGATGCCGATTTAACCATAATCTGACAAGGTCGCCGCGAGGGGCCTCCTGCTTGTCCCCTAACCCTCCTCGGCTAATATTTACCTCATGACCTGCGATCGCCTCGGCTTGTTTGCAGCAGTCAGAACACAAGCAGGCGGTTCAGCTCTGCAGAGTTACAGTCCTCCAAAAAGAGAAGGGAAAATGGCTCCTGCTCTGGGTTTAAACTCCTCACATTTTGGCCAAACTCAGGAACAGTTTGCAAACATTCTTTGGTTTCGAGGCCCACAGAAAAAAACAGAAAATAAGTGAAGTAGAGGAGGCCTTTTGGTGTTGATTACAGTGGGTTTCTGCGGGTTTCTGCCTCTCTTTGCTGCCTGTTGACCTCATCTGGTCCTTAGCATCGGTTTATATCACGCTCCAGCGGCTTTGGGATTAAGCTGAACTTGATTAGTGCTCTGATATTTCTAAAGCATGTTTATTTCTTCGCAGACCAGAAAACTAATATTGTGTCATTTTTTCAGATGATGTGGCTGAAAGTTTGTTGTTGTTCCGCTCTGGAACAGTTTAACTATAATGGCTCTCTGTTAGTTTGGTGTTATTATTTGTTTTTCTGTTGCGATTATCAAAGTATTTTCAGATTTCAGGAGAAGATTTGGTTTCGGCTTTATCGTTTCTTTTTCCAACGCGCTCTGAAAGCCGTCGACGCCCCTGAGATGCAGGGCGACGACCGTTTTAATGAAACGAGGATTTCAGTAGCAGCTTTTAAAACCACAGAGCTGCAGCTACTGAGAAGATTGAAACCGACGCGACCTGTTGAGCGAGAGCCACCATGAAACCTGGGGACTGGAAGGAAGAACAGGATTAGTGTGAGAGTCCAGTCAAGGCTCCCTGTTGCTGAAACTCACCTTCTCTATCTTTGCCTGCCCCCCCCCTGCCCCCGTTCAGACTGTGATCATGTTTCCCCTCTGATAGAGATCTCATTACACACAGAGAGGACTTAGAGCCTGACCAGCACTCAGAGAGGAGCGGGGACGCTGCGACCAATAAGAAATCCCTCTGGAAAGCAACTGGTCCTCCTGTAAATGCTCCCAGTGTCTCTGGAAGGACAGCTG